CTTCCAATCTCTAACATTCTGGGATTCTGGGATTCTGTGATTCTGTTAATAACACCGCTTCTTGTTACAGTTACACTCACAGTGATCACATTCTACTTAGTATGACACTGACTCATTAATATTTGGGAAAACTAAATATTAGTTTTCTGAATGAAACTGTTTAGGTTGACTTGACAAAATGTATCAATAGGATTAAACCAAAGGAAGTCTGTGTAACAGCACGCCTATTTAAACATGAAACATCCCTAATAACCAGCAGTAATTAACATGACAATGCTAGAAGCATTTTAACTTACCTCTGAACATGCTAAGTGTTTGACATTTTTAAACCAGTCAACATGTGCACGGCAGTGATCAAAAGCATGAATCAATTCATGTGTGACCACCCGGTTCATATGGGATTGCTGGCGAATGTTGTTCTGACACAGAACAATCTGTAGAAGAAAAATACAGGGAGTTTTTTCACCAAGTTTCAACATCTTCCTTACTTTTCAGAGACGTAGCTCACACCATCTACAGCATTTAGACTCTTTAGATCAGTGTTTTTCAACATCAACAGCCTCATAATTCTGCTGTGTACGAGTTCAAATACCACAGAACATTTTTCATCTATCTTGTTTTCATGACTTTAACTCAGATACCAGCATTAGTAGATTTAATCCCAGTAAAAAACACTAAAAAAATTGTAGTCCTTTGAAAGAGGACAGTGTCCAGTGCCCACCTGAGATGTGGCAGAATCAAAACCTCCACTGACACAGCCATCACAATCTTCACAAGAAAAGTGTCGGTCGTTGAAGACAGTGCTGAAAGGCCCAAACAAACAAAGTTATAGGAAAGAATTTGAAAAAGACCAGTAACCCCATATAATAGTGAAGTTACTACACAGAACAACATGATTTAATTTACATACCAACCAGACTGCTTCATAGCCTCAAGAAGAAGTTGAGCATAGGGATCTAGAAAAACATTGCTGCAATCAATTTCTCTAGATAATTTTTTTAAAGTAATCTATAATCAAAATATACAGACAGTCAAGAAAAAATAAAGGAAAAGCACTACACATGCAAATTCATACTTTGCAGTATGTAACCCTAATGCAATGGAACTGGCATCTCTTACAGCTCAGGCTATGTAAAGCAATATAGAATTGTAACATA